GAAAGAGCACAAAGAAAGGCAGGAGGGTGAGAAGTATCTTGAGATATATCAAAAACAATTAGCAGGTATTACTGGAATGTGGGTAGTAGGAATAGAGTTGGGGAAGAAAGAGTCAATCTATGGGTCTATAACAACAGCACAAGACAAGGACTTGACTGAGAGGCTTAGAGAGCTGAGTCATTATGGCAAAAAGATGCCAATTTAGTCAATTCACTTAAAGTTTACTGGACTTCTGTTGGGGATAGTTTTTAACACAGGGCCTGGCATAAAGCACATGTTCATTCCAGGTCTTCAGGATAAAAGATATGTAGACAGTTGCTGGTCTAGAAGAGGAGTCAGACAAAGAGAGTACTTGTTCAGTGTGGTGAGTTCTAGTGTTCCGGGATCTGGATGGAGAGTTCATTTATGGCTAGAGAAGGTGGGAAGGGTGACACTGGAAAGGCTTTGTGGGGGAAGAAGTCTTTGTGGTCCATATTGAAGTACATGCAGATATGATGCAGGATATTCGAGAATAAGGGAATTCCAGGAGAAATAACTTAGAGATAGGAAAGCAGAGAGCCTGACTGATAACAGTCACTGTCTGGAACACTGGAAATCTATAAGAGTTCAAGGAAAACAAGATATATAGGTACCGTTACTCATTTGCTCAAAAACATTAAATAATTCTGGCTTTTATTAAGTACTTACCATGTGACAAGCACTGTTCTAAACACTTTACATGTATTAACCCATTTAATTCTCACAAAACCTTCATGAGGTAGAGAGTTTCCATTTCTATTCATTTTCATTGTATCTATGTGGAAATTGAGACAAAAATATAGTTACTAGTCTAAAGTCATGTAAGTAGTATGTTGGGATTTGTGTGTGTGGGGGGGGCTGTTTCTATCTTCATGGTCATAACCACTGGGTCTACTGTCTCTCTAAGCTAATAACGCAGACTCTCGGAACTTCTCTTCAGTGTTCTGTATTGGTCTGTGAATCAATTCTAGAACTTTCAGGTCTCTCAATGTTTACTTAGGCTGGGATTTTGCAGGAAAGGTACATGAGACACATCCACCATGAGTCCACAAATACCACAATCTCACAGGCAAATCATTTTCAAACTGCAAATCTTTATAATCTCTCTTAAATCCATTTTCCTTTATCCACTGTCACTTCTTTAATCCATTACAACATAATTTCTTCTTAATTTCCATTTCTCTCTTGTTCTCCTTTAATTCTTTCTCCATACTGACCACTATAGGGATTTTTCTAAAAATCGGACAATATTGCTCCCTTGCTTAAACATCTTTTTCCCTATTATGTAGACTCTGGAGCAGTGGCCTCTACAGTAAGATATTCAAGAAGATATACAGGGCAAGGGATTTGAATACAACATTTTTATGATTATTCTTATCTTAAAAATAGGAAATTAAGGAACTGGGGTTGTGGCTCAGTGGTAGAGCGCTCACCTAGCACATGTGAGGAGCTGGGTTCGAGCCTCAGCACTACATAAAAATAAATAAATAAAATAAAGATATTGTGTTCAACTACAACTAATTTTAAAAAATAGAAAATTAAGCTTTACCCTTACTGATTTCAATATGCAGGCTCACAATAATATATATATCTCACAAATAAATATACAGAGATTGGAGATACATGCTTAATCATCTGTATTGATTAGGTATGTTGAGTCCAAAGTTTGTAGACCCCTGGTCTATAGAAGAATTGAAGCTCCTTGGAATGATATGCAATGCCATTCACACAGTGATATTTATGCTCTCTCTTCTTCCCTACATGCATTTTCCTCTGGCTATTCCAAATCACTTTTGGTCCCCTCATTTTGTTGTTCTCTTACCTCTGAGACTTTGTTAATGCCTCTTCTGATTGGAATGTCCTTCTTCACCTCTTCTTCTGTATTACATCCTTTCACCTTCTAGTTTTAACTCAGGCATCCTTTCATTTATTCTTTCAACTAATATTTATCAAGTACTTATTGTAGGCCAACACTGTTCTAAGTGTCGGGGATCCACTAGTAAACAAACCAACATAAAATCTTTACTTTCCTGGAGTTTATATTCTAGTAGAAGAGGATAGTTAAAACATTTTTAGAAATAAGCAAATTAAATGGTATGTTAGTTCTTAGTACTATGAGAAAAATAGAAAGCAGAAGTATGGAAGTATGGGGGTAAGGCCTAGTTTGGAAAAATAAAACATTAGAAAAAGGCATTAGAGTGGCAAGTACAGAGGTCATTGAGGTAACACTTGAGCAAAGACTTGAAGAAGGTAAAGTAGTTAACTGGGCAGATATATAAGGGAAGGGTATCCCAGGCAGAGAGAAGGGCATAAGGCAGGGACGACCCTAACAGAGGAGTATTCTTTTTCTATTTCAGGAACAATAATAAGATGATTGGGGATGTTGTGTTGTAAGCAAGTAGGAAAAATACTGAGCATATAGAGGCAATAAGAGGCCAGATTGTGCAGGGTACTGTAGGGCATTGGAAGGATTGCAATTTTTACTCCAAGATCTTTTGGAAGGATCCAAGCAGAGGATAGACATATCTGACTCAAATATCATCACCATCATTATTATTGTTGTTGTTATTATTATTATTATTAGGTACCAGGGATTGATCTCAGGGGTGCTTAACCACTGAACCACATCCCTATCCCTTTTTTAAAAAAAAATATTTTTTGATACAGGGTCTTGCTAATTTGCTTAGTGTGGCTTTGAACTTGTGATCCTTCTGCCAAAGTCTTCTAAGCTGCTAGGATTGCAGACCTGCACCATTGTGCCTGGCTTGACTCAAAATTTTAACAGAATTGCTCCGATTTCTATGTTGAGAATACACAGAAAGGAGAAAGAGTGAAAGCAGGGAGACCAGTAAGGGGCTACTGTAATATCCCATGTTAGAGATGATGGTAGTTCAAACTTGACAATAGCAATGCAGGTGATGAGAAGTGGTTGGATTTTGAAGGTAGAGCCAATGGTATTTGCTGGCAGAGTGAATGTGGGATGACAGGAAAAAAAATAAAGGATCACTCTGAAATTTTTGGACTGAGCAACAGGAATTGCCATCAATTGAGATGAGAAAGGCTGAAAGCAGAACTGGTTTGTTGGAAAGTAGGGTCATTAGTAGCTCAGTTGTACCCATATGAAGTCAGATATGCCTGTTTGATGTCCATGTGGAGATGCAGAATACTACTCCTACTGGATACACAAGTCTAGAAAACAAGAAAGAGTTCTGGGCTGGACAGGAAAATTTCAAAATCATCCACACAGAGTTGGTGTTTAAAGCTGAGACTAGACAAGATTATCAAAGGTTTGAGCATAATAAAGGTTAAGGACAAAGCCCTGGTACACCCTAAGATACTTCTGATAGCTAGGTCAGATTTCCTTCTCTAGGTTCCCATTGCTCCTAGTAATGCCCCATACGCTGTGCCCCAGCCTCCTTGGTCGAAACACTGATGACATAATGTGGGTACTCTGTCATCCTCTTCACCACACTAGAGTTTCCAAAACAAATAGATCCACTTCTCAGTCCACACATATCCTGCACTTAGGGAGTGGTCCAGGCCAAGACAGAATGATTTCAAATTGTATCAAAGGAGTGCTTTCCAAATCTTCTATTTATACAGCCCAGCACCCAAATGGTAACATCACAGCTCACACTGGAGCAAACAGATTAAGCTACTTCTATCCCTGAAGAACCTCAAAAGGCTGAAGGGATCAATATCATGGTGTATCTGTACTATGACACAGGATTTGGAAGACCAAGTCTAACCAATTCTTTCCTTCCCCTCTTTATCACCTTCAGAGAAGCTGATGGTAGCCTGGGCTGAAGTGGGGCTGCCCCTACAGGATGTGTCTGTGGCTGCCTGCAACTTCTGTCACCGTCCTGTGCACTTTGAGCTCATGAGTGAATGGGAACGTTCCTATTTCGGGAACATGGGGCCCCAATATGTCACCACCTATGCTTAAGAAGCCAGCTCCATTGGATGCCCATGCCACTTGTACTTCATTTGGGGTGGGACCTCCTCTTGACCTCTGCTTTGTTATATGCCTCTAGCTTACTTGAATCTGAAAATAAAGAGCAAATTGCAGCATTTTCACCCTCTGTTGGACAGACAGCAGACAAGTACACTATTCTGGGAAACCCTGGACAAGTGCCAGACCCAAAATGAAACCAAATATCACTTGTTATTCTGACCACCCCACTTTACTGACAAGGAAACCCAGATGTGGAAAGAGGAAAGAAATACCTCATATAAAATGGTTTTTCCAATGGTTTCAGCAAAAATCCAGGGATTGACTCTTCACTTGTAGGCCTGAAATATGGGGCCCATGTACCCTATAAAGCTAGGAGATAGTAGATTCTCACTAAACTGCCTAGAATGAAAGAGTAGTTCCCCAGAACTGTATTCAGCAGTGCAGGGAACCACTACAGCCCAGCACTGCTCTCCTTCCTCCTCACTTCCATTATATTAGGCTACAAGCATCTGGCAAACCCAGTTCTGAGATGGCTTCTTTAACTCAACTTTCTGAGCACATCCAAAATTTTCACTCAATGTAGTATACTGAATTTTTTAAAAAACAGACTTTATTTTGAACATATTTCCCCGCAAGAAAAGAAGAGGTTTTTAAATCACAACTTCCTAGGGCAGCTGGTTCTCATGAACTTCTGACAGGAAGGTAGGAAGTGGGGTGAGGGACTGGGTCACAGCACTAAGGCACAAGAAGCTCACAAACAAGGATGTAGGCAGGAAGATAGAGGGACAGAGACCTTGGAGGAGGAAGAGGAAGTTGAAGTAGAGGGAGGGACACCTTGGGGGAGGAAAAGAATGAGAAGGAAGACAAAGAAGAAAGAGGAGGCCTGGCATGGTGGTGCATGCCTGTAATCCCAGTGGCTCAGGAGGCTGAGGCAGGAGAATCACAAATTCAAAGCTAGCCTCAGCAAAAGTGAGGTGCTAAGCAATCAGTAAGACCCCGTCTTTAAATAAAATACAAAATAGGGCTGGGGATGTGGCTCAGTAGTTGAGTGCTCCTGAGCTCAATCCCTGGAACCCCCTCCCCCCCAAAAAAGAGAAGGGAAGCAAGGAGGCCTTAGGGAAGAAGGCAGCATAGAATGGGTGATCATGCCAGATATCCCTAGGTCTCCATGGGTTCAGCTGGGCTTGCTCCAGAGAAAGAAGTTGCAGCGGGAGGAAGGGTCACTGGGAGGACCCCGGGGCCTGGCACACATGTAAAAGTGGCGGCCCAGGTTGGGTCCTGGCTTTTTTACAGTTCGCATCACACATGGTTCCCTGTGCCCACTGCAGAGGGGCATGGGTGAAGGTCCCCCAAGCACAGACTTCCAGAATGAGGTCCGTAACTCCTTTTCTTCTTTACTCTCTGAGTGCTTGGCCTGCCCTTCTACCTCTCTGGCTATCACCTCCTCTTCTAGTGTCTTTGGGGTTGTGAGGTTGTTCACCAGAGGCAAGCTAAGCAGCTCCAATTCAGGAGAAGTTTTGGAATGGCTGGAGGAGGGCTGGAAGTAGCTCATCAGGTTTGTCTGGCCTCTTCTGGAATTAGCCTGACTTGGCCGAGGCCTGGTTGAGCGCACACGGACTTTGTTTTGCTGCTTCTGTACCTGTGTTTGATTGCTGAGCCTCAGCGCTGACTTTTCCAACACAGGTTCTTGTTCACGAGGAACTAGGAAGCGGAGAATCTTGAGCTGGGTACCTGCAAACTCAGGGAGAAAGCGGGTGCACAGAGGAGGGCACTGTTTTGCAGGCACAGAGGACACATTCAAGGTGGCACCCACAGGGCAGTGGTCAGAGCCCATCACCTCAGGTAGCAGGAAGGAGTTCTGGAAGGTGTCTATTACCAGGGTCCTATCCCCCAGCACATAGTCAAGCCTAGAACCATAGTTGAGATGTCGGGCACCACTAACCACGGACCAGCAGGTAAAGGCCCTCTCCTGCTTTGGTTGGAAATAGCGGTAGCTATCAATGAAGGGCCCTCCATGGGATCCAGCCTGGCACCCCAGGTTACTGAGTAAGCTGTCCATCCATTTGCGTCCTGGGTCCTCTTCAAAGCATTCCTAGATACCCAGAAATGGAAAATCTGGTTGTTACAAAAAAGACTACTGCTCAAGGTCACACACTCGAGAACTGGTAGAGTTGGGATTTGTTTTCTAATTTTCTGATTTCCCTCCATACCATGGTACACTTACCTTGCACTGGTCCATAAATGTAAAATCTGAAAGTCTGTTGTTTTCTTAATCTAAACAATTCCCAGAAATGCTTTTTTAAAGAATGGAAAACAGGAAAAGTAGTTGCCTCTAGGGAGTAGTGGGGCAGAGATTAGGAGTTAAAGAATGTTGGCTTTTCCTTTAAACCCTCTGGCACTATTTGGTTTATCTTGTGTGGGTCAAAACTCTCATTGACCATCCCTTCCTCCTGAAGTCAGAGTCCATAGAGATCCATGTCTTGACTACTTCCTTTGGCTCTGATCCCTGATCCATCCATTCATCTATCTAATCTACCCACTCACACATTCAATACAACAATGTTCACAGAATAGCTATTTTGTCTCAGGCATGAAGCTAGGACCAAAGTAGATCTAGTCCTGGGGATGAAGGAGGCTTCCTTTTGGTAAATGACCTGGAGCTGAGATGTGAAGACCAAGTGGAAACAACCTAGGCAGAGAGGGCTCCAAGTTCTGAGAGCAGCCTCTATGATGGGCCTGTGAAGGGAAGATCAGATGGGGGACACCAGTAGAAGACATCCACCATAGTCCATGCAAGCTAGAGATAATGGTCACTTGGACCAGGGTGGTGCTAAAGGAGGCAGAAAAAATAAATTGAGATGATTTGGAGGTAGAATCAATAGTACTCACTCACCAACTGAATGTAGGAAAGAAGGTAAAGAAGGACAGTAAGAGCATAATTCCCAGGCTTCTAGTTGGAACACCCAATAGGATAATAGTGCCATTTAGAGATAAGAAGATTAGAAGAACCATTCTGCTGGGAAGCAGACATGTTCTGCCATTTTGAATACTGTCTTTGTTGTCTGAGCTGGTAGTTCTCTTTTCTTGGAAGAAAGAAAGAAGGAAGTGCACTACAAACATCTAGGATAGCCCTGAAATAAGTTGAGAAGGCATAAAGGTATACAATACTATCACAGGAAGTTGAAAGAACTGACTAAGTAAATTACTGTTGAAAAACAAAGCAGGGAGGAACTGAAGCCTTGTACTCTGTAATGTTTACCCCTGTACCCACCATACCACCACCACCACCACCACCATTCTCTCATTACTTCAGTTCTGCTCATTTCCCCAGCTGAGAGCCATATCCACGTTTGTGTTTCTCTCCTGCAAACTAATAAGAGATTTTCCTAGAGCCCCTTTCTGAGCCAAGTACAGGGATGAGTAACTGTACCAGCACTGATGACCTCTGTGATATCATGATACATATATTTTGGTTTTCACCTCTGGGTCCTGGCTCATTAACTCCCTTCTAAAGATGTCAACAGAAAGTAGAATTTCTCTTCCCCAAGGTAGGTCATAGAAACTGATCTTCTCAGCCTTCAGCTAGCCATTAAGGAATTCTGTGACCTGTCTTTGTATAATAGTAGGCCATAAGACCCTCATGCCAGAGGGGTCCTGCCTGAACCAGAAAGGAAGGAATGCTAAGAATCTGAATGTCAGGCTTTCTTGAGTTTCCCCACCCTATCTTTTAGCAATCGTGCCTATGCAATGAAGTCTTCATAAAACCCCAAAAGGACAGGGTTCAGAAAGCTTCTAGACAGTTGAATATGTGGAAGCTTGCAGGAAGGTGAATAGGAACTTTTCCACATGCTAGGAGAATGGCATACTATTAAGTCCACAAGAATGGAAGTTCCTGGGACTCTTCCAAAACATACCCCATATATTTCATCATCTTACTGCTTATTTGTAAGCTTTAAAATATCTTTTATAGTAAACCAGTAAATTTAAGTATAGTGTCTGCCTGAGATCTATGAGCTGCTCTAGCAAATTAATGGAATTTGATGAGGGTGTTGGGAGAACTTCAATTTATAGCCAATTAGTCAGGAGTTCTGGAGGCTCAGACCTATGACTGGTTCTGAAGCAGGGAAGTCTTGTGGACTCTCCCTAAACATGTAGGATTTGAGACTATCTCCAGGTAGACAGTACTGGAATTGAACTGGAATACAGTACACCCACCTGGTGTCTACTGTTGCAGAAATGCTTGCTTGCTTACTGGTAGGGAAAAATCCCCACACTCTTTCCCCCATTCCCATATGTTTTAAGGTTACTGAAATCTTCTGTGCTGATTGTTGTGGTGTGAGAACACAAGAAAAACAGGCAGTTTGTCCAACAAAGAAACACTGTACATGAAGAAGGCCAAGACAAGAAGTGGCTTATACATTCTGGGGCAGTCATTCTCAAGCCTGGCAGCATAATAAAGTCACCCCGGGGGCTTTTAAAGCATACCACTATCTGGGCCTACAGCTAAGAAATTCTGACTTCATTGTTCTAGAGTGGTGTTAATGCATTGATATTTTTGTCCAATTATGCAGGCAGGGATTATGAACCACTGGCCTAGAATTAGAAATGAGAGGGTCATGTTAGAAAAAAGCTAGAAGGGAAGGTATGACCACCAATTTGGGGCATAGTAAGAAAAGCCAGAATGATAACAGTTTTTGCAAAGGAAAGAGACATCTGTCTGGAGTAGACAGAGTATGAATGGAAACTGAGTATGGAAATGAAGATAGGGCACAGATCAGAAGGTGCCTGAATGCCTGTTCTTAATGTTTTCTCTGCATTACAGAGATAGATAACTGGTATTGAAGGTTCATAAGGAGGAAAGACAGTGCATTAGGAAAATGATATGAAGACAATGGGAGAGTCAAGGCCCTAAAAAGGTGGCCCCACTTGCACCTCACTTCACATAAACTCTCACAAGAATAGGACTTGCAGGTCTCCATGTACACCAAGCACCTTCTCAATTTGAAACCTTTGCCCACATTGGAATGGTTTTCTCTCCTATCCCAAAACTCCATTCTCATCTGTTAAGATCCAGCTACTTAAAGCAGCCTGTCCTAATGTCCAAGCTCACCCAGGAATCCCATCTCTGGGTTCCCCTAGCCTCCTGAGCTGCCATCTCTGCCTGAGCCTTGAGAATATCACTCCACAAATTGGCTGGCCACTTGTCTATAGCCCATCAAAACACTGAGAAGCTAAGAGCTGGATATGACTCACAACTAAGTTCCCAGCACATAGTGCAGGACCAGACAAGGGCAGGGTCAGTAATGTCTGTCAAATGAAGGAACAATCCTCAGTACTTTTAGAATCAGATTTCAACAGGACTATATCAAACAAAAAAGCTTCTATCCAGGAAATGAAACAATAAACAGTATAAAGAGAATAAAGAGACAACCTCCAGAATGGGAAGAAATAATTGCACACTATTCAACTAACAAGAGATTAATGTTATAAGGAACTTCAAAAACTCGACAACAAAAAACAAACAAACAAAAAAATCCGATTCAAAAATTGGCAAATGACCCGAACAAACATTTCTCAAAAGAAGACATACAAATGGTCAATAAGTATATGGAAAATAATCAATATCACTAAGTATCAGGGAAATGTGAATCAAAACCACAATGAGATACCATCTTACTCCAGTTAGAATGGCTATGATCAAAAGGACAAAAAATAATAGATGCTGGTGAGAATGAAGAGAAAGACAAAGTCTCATACACTGTTGGTACCAATGTACATTAGTACAGCCACTGTGGAAAACAGTATGGAGTTCCCTCAAAAAGTTTAAAATCAGGGGCTGGGGTTATAACTCAGTGGTAGAGCACTTGCCTCACACGAGTGAGGCCCTGGGTTCGAGCCTCAGCACCACATAAAAATAAACAAATAAAAAATAAAGATATTGTGTCCATCTGCAATAAAAATTATTTTTTAAAAATGTTTAAAACCAAACAGTCATGATTGAGTACTCCTACTTCTAGGTATATATCCAAAGGAAATGAAATCAGTATGTCAAAGAAACATCTGTACTCCCAAGTTCATTGAAGCATTATTCATGATAGCCAAGAAATGAAATCAATCTAGGTGTCTATTGATGGATAAAAAAAAAAAAAAAAAAAAAAAAAAACACAGTGCCAGGCATTATGGTGCACACCTATAATCCCAGCAACTCAGGAGGCTGAGGCAGGAGGATTGCAAGTTCAAAGCCAGCCTCAGCAAATTAGTGAGAACCTGTTTCTAAATAAAAATTGGGCTGGGGATATAGCTCAGTCAATCTCCAGTATAAAAAAAAAGAAAGAAACCATACTACACATATAAAATGGACTACTATTTAGCCATAAAAGAGTGAAATTCTATCATTTGCAGCAAAGGGATGGAACTGAAAGACATCATAAAGATAAGCCAAGCACAGAGAGACAAATGATATCATTTATGTGGAAGCTAAAAATGTTGATCTCATAATCAACTGGTTGCCAGAGTCTGAAAAGGGAAGGGGAGAAAGGGATAGCAAAGCACACAGTTTGATAGAAGGATAATATTCTAGGGTTCTGTAGTGTAGTGGAGTGACTATAGTTAGAAACTATTTATTATGTATTTAAAACTAGGTAGTAGAAAGGATTTGATTGGTCCCAACACAAAGAAACAAAAATTTGTGGTGATAGATATGCTAATAATCCTGATTTGGTCATTATATTTTGTATATATGTATGAGCATATCACATAAATGTGTATAATTAAGTGCCAATTAAAAACACAGAAGAAGAGTATTTCACAAAAGAAGCTGCCCCTAGGGCCAAGAACTCAGCATTAGCTGGCTGAGTGAATAGAATTACAGTCAGGAAGAAGGCCAGAGACTAGAGGGACTCTTACCAGGTTGACTGCATCACAGTGGTCAATGCGGCAGTGGGCTGTATTCAGGTCACCCAAAATGATCACATGGCTGAAAAACACAAGGTGGGGTTGTCAAGTGGGCATTCAAGAAAGGGGAGCAGTTGTCCTGAACCATATTTTTTTTCCTAAGCCTAAGGGCTCAGATAGGCCACCTCCCACACCGAGACTAGCCAACAGCTACTTGCGTTGCACCTATCTATCTCTGCCACCATGCCACAACCTGAATTCCTCTACAGCTGACCAACCAAATCCAGTGCTCCAAAGGTGACAGTGCTGTTTGACATGAACACCTCAATCATGTCTACCTAATGCCATTTTTGTTGTACTTCAAAACTGAACTCAGGTAACACTTCCTCTAGGAAGTACCCCTTGATTACTCTAACCCACCCTCACTTTCCTGTCCTTCCCAGGAACAAGACTTTCATTTGCTTCCAGGCACTATTACCACCCTCATCTCATTTCATCCTTAAAACTATTCTGTGAAGTGGGCTTTCATATACTCATTTGACAGATGGGGAGAGGTAGGGATAGCCTTGGTATTCATAGGAGGAGCAAGGATATGTGTTCAGAATATAAAACTCATGGGCTGGGGTTGTGGCTCAGTGGTAGAGCACTTGCCTTGATGTGTGACGCACTGGGTTCGATTCTCAGCACCACATATAAATAAATGAATACAATAAAGGTCCACCAACAACTACAAAATATTTTTTTTAAAAAAATATAAAGCTCATGTTTGTGTCCCTTTACCTTGTACACACAGCTCTTAAGAGAGCAAGGCTTATTCAGGTGGGCATAGTGATGTCTGCAACTAGGCTTTGAAGGAACAGAAAGACTGTATATACCTTCCAATGGAGCATGACACAAGGTTGGGCACCCAGGACAAACTCAAAGAAGCCTTGCTGCCCAGATTTCCAGTACCTGCCAGCTGCCAAGAGGGCTTCTGCTCGGATCTGTAGCAAACGATAGAAGCGCATCTTAAAGGTCAGCCGCTCAGGCTTCCCAGGGTCTGCATGGGGGCAGTACACGTTGATAAGGGTCAAGGTCCTCTCTTTTCCTTCCCAAGTGCTGGGGAGAAGAGAAAACCTCAAAAAGGGTCAGTTTCAAGGTTTCCCCCACCACACCACATGGCTTCTACTTAATGGTTATCCACAGGATAGAAGAAAAGGATTAGAAAAACACTGAACTCAGAGGACTTGGGGACTGACTACAGGTGAGTCAAGGAAAGGGGCATGTAGGATGCCAACCAAGTAAACCAGGTGATGATGCTACCATTCATTAAAACAGGATACCCAGAAAGCGAGCTACATGGGTTTGGTATTGGCTATGTTGTTTTTGGGGTGCCTATAGTAGTAAAAGGGCTGGATTTCCAGGCCAGTCCCCCACTCTGAGAACTCAAGGTTCATAATGGTACATAATTTGCCAGGGTCACATAGTGAGCAGCCCAGTCACAACTAGAGTCCAGAAAAGGCAAGTTTGGGAACTTTTCTATAATGAATGCATGTTTATAAAGTGAGCTCTCCACATAAAGACTAGAACCAGCAATGCTCAGTGGCAGGGGGATATGGGCTATTACCGGATCTTGTGCTGTGTAAGGAGGGCCCGGCCCTCGCTATCCAGAGCTCGGAGCTCCTCTTGTGTGAACTCATCCGTGTTTCCGTAACAACCCACGTCCCCATTCTGGGTGGCAAACAAGCCACTCAGGCCTTCTTCAGCAGCCACTGGGGTAGCGCTGTCCTTACAGAAGGTAGCTACACCTGGGGACAAAGAGGATATCTGAACAGGACTGGCAACCAACAGTCTGTTGTGCAGCCTGTCTCATTCCAATTGTTCCCACAAAAGTTACCTGATACTCTTCATAAAATGTGGCTCACTATTCTTTTAAGGCATTGACAAATTTTCCCAACTCAAGAGCCACGGATGGTTCCCTTGAATGTGGGGCAATTTAATACCTCAGAGCCTCAGTTCCTTCATCTAAAAAGCCACAGAATAATAATAGCTAATGTTCTAAGTATTTTACAGGGACATATGGTAACTGCTCTTAAGTTATTATGTATTATTATTATTACATGGATTACCTATCATAGTTTTCCAGTTGAGAATTCTGAGGCACAAAGAGATAGTCTTTCCAGAGGGTACACAGGGAGTGAACCATAATTTGAACCCAGGCAGTCAGGATCCAGAGCTCACAAAAATAACCACCACACAATTGTACTTATTGTACAACAAGATAACTTTATACATAAAAATACACTTCATGTAACTTAAATTTTATGGGGCTTTAGCTCTTTGGACTAAAAATCTAAATTTCTTATCACCTTCTCAACAAATATTAGAAACCCTTTCTTCTTACCTGCCTCTATCACTAACACTAATTTAAAATCCCCCAAAACCCAATTTACCAGAATAGCCACTTCGGCTGCGGCTGAAGCTGAAATAGGAGTTATAGCCCTCAACGATAGCCAGGGGCTCTGTCAGCACATCCCCTGAAAAAAGGTATAACATTAAGTCAAAGGTAAAACTAGGACCCAGAACACAAAAAGGCCTGAAATTACAGTTGTAGGCTAATAGTATTGGCACACATCAGAACCAGCGTTGGAAGGAAAAATGAAGTATCTATGATCAAAGAATCTAGAAAGGTAGAAGAGTCAGAGAAGGAATTATATCAATATCGGAAGGCAGGGAAGTGGGGACAGCCCATGAAGTGGAAGGTGGAGAATTAGTGAGTGGGGAGTGAATCAAAACTAAGCCTAGGGGTCTAAATGATGGAAAGGAGCTAGGAGTGGGAAATGGGAACATGGAAAAGGAAAATGGGAATCTGAACTGGGGTGTAGGAAGATAGGAAAATAGCAGATCTGAAATGGTAATGATGAGAGAAGAAATTAGGGATCCTGAGGGAGTGGGGGAAAGGAAATTAGGTCTAAACTTGGGGTGGGAAATGAGGTGGAGATGAGAGTTGGAGTAAATAAAGGGAACTGGAGAAAATTATAAAGTATGAGCAAGAGGCAAAGATGGGGTGGGAATTGGAGAGGGACAGAGAACTGAGGGGTCTGCCTTGGGGGTTGGAGATGGATAGTGCATAGGAGGGGGAATTCAAAGGGCTGAGTTGGGGCAGTAGAATTAGTGGGAATCTGAGTGGATTTGGGGATTTCACAGGCGAGGCAATTAAAGTCCCGTAGAGGACAGGAGATGGGAGTGGGAATTAGGGGATCTAGCTGGGATAGACAATGGTGGTTAGGGAGGGAAAAAGATTCTGAGCTGGGTTTAAAGGACTCTAAGTACGGGGAAGTGGGAGAGTGAAATGAGATAGAGCAGAGGACAAAAGTTAGCGGGAAAATAAGAATATGGTAAGGATTTTGGATTATTGAGTGCTCACTAGTCACTTTGGTCTCCTGGAGACAGACAATATCAGCATCCAGTTCATCCAAAATGCGTCTCATGGCCATGGAGGTACTGTTGCTGGTTTCCTGGCACACCACCCCTTGCAGGGGACTTCGGATTCCATTTATGTTCCAGCTCACAATGCGCAACATCCTAGTAAACAGCAATACCTCCGCAACATCCCGCGTCTAAGGAGCGGGCAAACTGCTTGGCGCTCGGAAGTCAGTTAGACCGCGCGTTTGCGCGTGCGTTTGCGCAGGCGTTCTTGTCCGTGCCACGGAAGAACTTGCCGCACGTCTGGCGGGGCCTTGAGTCCCGCAGTTCTCATTGGCCAGAGACGTAACTACGCGCACAGCGAAGGGGCGGGGCGAACGAACGCTAAGAAAGAATGAATGGCGGAAAGCAGGTCCGCGTTTGGGTCCTAACTCCTCTGGCCGTGCCCTGGACCGGACGTTTGCGTCTGACTGTGTTTCTCCTTTATTCAAAAGTTCCCTTGGTGCTTCCGGTTACTTAAGAATGGGATGTCGCCACTTTTTAGGCGGGAAACTCCTTGGACCCGCTCACCGGCCTAAGCCCCACCCCCAGCACGGCAGATAGCCCATCTAAGAGCCCTTTTGGCTTTGGCACTTGCGCCCTGGGAGTTGCAGACACTGTGTTTGCACGCTCCAGGGATGAAGGGAACTTCACGGTTGGAGGAGAGAGCGCTAAGAGCTTCTCTACTGAGATAATATTTTAGTAGATGACCTCTGGCATTATTGAGGCAGAAGGCAGGGGGAGACTGTCTCAAATCCGCCCTATGCCTAATTTGTCTTGTGTCTCAAGAGAGTCTAGAAGAATGTGGCCAGACGTGTACTTGCTCTTGGCTCCATTTGTCAGATGAATTAAATTGAGGTCCAGAACATTTAAGCTCCGAAGCAGCACTGTCTGTCCCCTGATGCAGCTGTGTTTGTCCTGTATACATCATCTCTTTCATTCCCAGGTAAACCTTGGAAGGGGTGTAGAAGTTGAGTGAATTCACTTCAGTCTCACAGAAGTGATAGAGCCAGGATTCAACCTCTTCCTTAAACAGGTCAAGAATTACTTTTCTAAGATTTTATGGACTACACACCTGTCACCGAAGTCTTCCCCTGGGTCCCCACAGCACTCTATGGTTCATGCTGTCACAGCATTTATCACAATCAGCAGCTATCATTGATTTCTATTTCTGTTGCCATTAAACTGCCAGCAACTCTAGAGCATTGACATATGTATGAGTCATCTTGTTAGCTCCATTTCCTGTTACTGGACACAGTATATCTTAGAGGGAATTGAATATTTGTTAGTCGAATGAACAAAGGGCAACAGCAACAGGTTCATTTTTTTTTTTTTTTTTGAGAGCACAAAAACAGAAGTGATACACATGCTTAATATCCAGGGGAAAATATAACATTGTATTTTTAGGTTTCTTATCCAGAATTGCAACATAGTTATTTTTTTCCACAGAATTTTACAGTCTTAAAGACATCATCTTCTGTGGCTGCAAAAAAGACCTAGCAAACTGCTTTTCCTCCCAGAGGACTTAAAGTTTACCTACTACTTGTTGCCATCAGAAAAGAGCTCTATAATTAAAATGTGTGTGAGTATGTGTGTTGTGTGTGTGCACACGCGTGCGTGTCTTGAGCTTTTTCATGCTTTGGGATTTGCTGATTTAGTATTGAGTCCCAGGAGTGGGATAACTAGGACAAAGGAAATGAACATTTTTATTGCTCTTGCTTCATATTGCAAATTGCTTTCCAGTAAGGAATTGTGCCCATTTACACTCAAGACTGATCTGAAACTCAGCCCCAAGGAAGGCCAGATCTTGCTTGTCTCAATAGCTGGTTTTAATTTCCCCATTCTGTCGTGGCTTGTTAATATTAGTTCTGACCTTTGGGGCAAGGTGAACACATGGTTGGACTGAAGAGAAAAGGCTCAGGAACTCCTTTGGCACTACAACAGCTGATATTTCAACAGAGAGTACACTACACCCCTTAACAAGGGTGCTTCCTCAGCCTTCCCAGGAACCGACGAACATCTCCAGGTTCCCTCTTTGATGCCACCCACTGGACCTGCTTTGGGGGTCTGTAAATGCAAGAGAACTGAGTGTTGGATAATTAAGGATGGAAGAAAAAACCTCTAAGAGAACAGGTAGGTGAGAAGGAAAAATAGAGAGGAGTTACACAAATCTAAATCCATTCTTTGGGCTCATTGGAAAGTTTTGTTTGCAAGGTGTTTGTTTGAGGTATGCATTAAATGGTATGAGAGAGTTGGGAAAAAACGATTTCTATATCTAAACTATCTGTATTTTTAATCTACTTTTACCTGAATTTGTAGGACAGCGACCTAAAGGGCAATTCCCTAGCACAATTAGAAGTATCTCCAACTTAGTCTAGTACAGTTTTGAATGAAATGTGTGATAGAGATATCTCTTCCCTCTCCTATAGTATATAAAGTAGGGTTGATTTGCTGTGACACTTTGAACAAACTTTCTAGTTTCTCCAGGTGTCAATAGCTCATCAATAAAATGGAAATTAAAGTCTCTAGCCTACTTCCCTCAGAAGGTTGCCTGAAGATCAAGAGGGGCAGAAGGACATGATCCAAAGCTCTTTGGAAACATTTTAGGATTTTCATACTCTGTGTGAAATTAGTTATCATGCTTTGTACATAGCATCTACAGGCAATACAACCCACAAATCTCTAACTGCTCTTCTCCCTCAGTGACTATAGTGTATGGAGAGTTACTCCTAGGACTAGGATGCAGTGAGCTTTGGGTCCCAAGCATGGGGCTGAAAATAGGGGGATGGTGGCCAGGGCCGAGGCTGCAAAGGAAGAGGATCATAGGCTACTGCCACAGAAGGCCTGATATGTACTCATACATACACATCTAACCTGCAAGTATGTGGCTAACTCCCCCTTAGTCTCCCACAAATTCATCCATACACACATTCCAATAATTATCAATTGTGATTTTATTGCCCATCAGTACTGTCTTGCTACTTTAAGTAGGATTCCTTCCTTCATTCAGTACTTGGCAGAGGGGTGTCAGGGTCTGTGGATCTCTGGAAATCACATTGTATATTTTTCTTCCCTAAAGATAGCTACATTTGGACTTTATGGCTGAGCACTCAGTTTGAGTAAGAATCTGATACTGATTAAACCCTATCCCTGCAAGCAATTCATTAGACCCTCTCAGATGGGGCTTTATTCTTTTGTTTATTCTGTTCTGCACCATTCAAGGTTGAGAGACATTTCTAGATGCCACATTCTACCTTTTAACAAGTCAGTTCTCCCATCCACTTCCCTACACAGCTCTTTGTTTTAACACTTACCTTGATAGAACGGTGTATCTCATCTAGAGCAGAAAAATGTAGACTGTACCAATATTCATTGAGCAAATGTTTCCTCTGTGCTAGGACCTGAGCTGGACACTGGAAATATATCACTAGGGTTTATTTCCCATCTTCATGGATTCCACAGTCCAGCATGAAAGTAGATGAAGAAAACAGTGGGGGATAATTGCTCAGATAGATGGAGGCACATGGGCAATATGAGAACTAAAGACAAAACCTCTCCCAAGGATCCAGAGTCAACTTCCCAGAGAAGATGAATGTTGAATCAGACCTTGAAGAGTGAGTTGGATTTCATTAAGAATGGAAGGGAAGGAAGGTATTCCTGGATACCCAGAGATAAGGGGAAAAGCCCAGAAATAGGAAAGTACATGGTATATTTTGGGTCCCAGTGAGTCAGTCAGTGCAATTTAAATGTGGATGTTTAAGGGAAATATGGTTGGGTAGGTAGGTTGGTGCTTAAATTAGAAGAGGTTTGAAGGCCAGGCTGAGGATTTTCCATAAAGCTTGTTTATTTCTCCTTCTGGAGTCAGAATTGGTAATAATGGTAAAAAGTCTTATAGTTAGTTTCAGATAATATTAAATTTGAGTTTTCAAGCCTAGACCCCAAGTTTATCCTTTCAGACCTTGTCAAAAATCCACTAGCCACCCGTCTCAGATTTCCTGCTACTAAAATTATCTTCCTGCCTCTTGGCAGGTTCATAAGGACAGAATTGTAAACATAAAAAACATATTCATGTGACCGACTAGATTACCTTGGACAGTCCACTTCACCTCCCTAGATTTTAGTTTCCTTGTCATGTGAATCAGATGTGTGTAAGGAATAAATAGGATAAAGGATATGTTATTGCCTAATGGGCAATTGAATACATATGCAAAAGATTTATTATTAGTTATTAGCATTAACAGAGTTTTACCAATTAGTAATTAATTGGTAAATATTAGGATTAGGAGAGTTGTATCTCTTCCAAAGTCTGTCTCTGAGACTCTACAAATTCTAATCTAATCTAATCTGTAAGGCTACATTTTTAAAATGTCTAATTTTTATTGACACATAATTGTACATATTTATGGAGTATCATGATATTTCAATACATGTATACACTGTGCAATTCTAAGATCAGGATAATTGGCATATCTATCACCACAAAAATTTATCATTTCTTTGTGTTAGGAACATTCAAAATCCTTTCTACTACCTATTTTGACATGCACAATTAATTGTTGTCAACCATAGACAACAGTGTGCTATAGAACATTAGAAGTTATTCATCCTATCCAACTGCATTCTGTACCTTTTAACTATTCTCTCTCGATCCCACTCCCCTTCTTAGGCTCTGGTAATCAGTGTTCTATTCTCAACTTTTTGAGATCAACTTTTTAGTTTCTGCATATAGGTGAGAACATGCTGTATTTGTTTTTCCATGCCTGATGTAGTTCACTTAACATCATGCAAAATACCACATTCTTAAATCAAGCTAGCTTGATCAATTAACCAAAGAAAATCCCTGGAGTGGGAGAACTTAGGTTCCCACTGTTCTACTCATGACTTGGCGACTGATTCTCTTTCTTTTTTTTTTTTTAATTTTTTTAGTTATAGTTGAACACAATATCTTTATTTTATTTATTTATTTTTATGTGGTGCTGAGGATTGAACCCAGTGCCTACATCAACCAGCTGAGCACTCTACTGCTGAGCCACAATCCCAACCCCTTGGCCATTGATTTTCTATGTGATCTTAGAAAACCATTTTCCTTCTCTAGACCTCAGTTTATTTGTTTGTTTTCACCTGAGAAGATGAGATGAAATGATCTATATGTGGCTTCTCAACTTTAACATAAGTCTTTACATAAAACCAAAAAGGTGTAAATGAAATCATCTTTCTATTTGATTCTCAGGAGCTCTTTATATCATAAATGTTAACTTGTTGCCATAATATTGTAAGTTTCCTTTACTAATAAAAGTCACAGATTAGTCTAAGTGATTAAACATTTACTTCATAAAGTCAATAACAGTATTATTTAGCATTTTCCAGATGCCTTACACATATTAATGTATTAAATCTTCAGTAACCCTAAGGGGCTAGTTACTGTTATCATTCCCACATTACAGATGAAAAAAAAAAAAAAAAAACTGAGACACTGAAAAGTTTATCTGTTCAGTGTATCATAGGCAGAAGTAAGAATCCACTCAGATAATGTGGCTGTAGAGCCCATTGCTCTTAATCACTGTTATCCACTGTAGATTCATTTAGATATGTGGGCCCTGATGTTGAAATTCTGGTATGATTTATACACAGCAGCTGGAGGAAATCTAACCCTTGTGTAGACTAAGGCTCTGAGAATGTATTTTAGGGAACTTCTTAAAAGGCAAAGTTGAGCTGGGGAGCATTTGAGGGCAGAGATTGGAGATTTCAACCCCCAAGTGGTTGCTCTTGTGTAGCCCAGCTCAGTAGAAGAAAGTTGAACTTCCTAATAGCCAATCACTGGAGGTTCATCAGGGGGTGGGAAGGTTGCAAAAGAATGAAGTAAGAGCATGCTTGGACATATTCCAGGCAGGCTGGGCAGTTACATGAGTTCTACAGATAAAAGTCTCAAAATAACCAAGGGGAAGCAGGGAAAGCAGGCCCTGTGAAGGGAAGAAATTTGGGTGTGATGGTTCTGGCCTATGAATTTGTTCTATTTAGAGGACATTGCTTCTTTCTACCCATGCTCACCCTACTGCAGCCTCTACCCTCCAAAGCCATCATCCCAATGGCTTACATGAAAAATGTTAGCCAGGTTGTTGAGCAGATAATAATGTCTTTATCCCTAGGGCATCTCATGGCAGCTGTCAGCCATGTGAGCAGTGCTTACCATGTCTCCCTTCAGCAATGGCTGTACTCACTTCTCTTCCTGAGGTGTCAGTTTTACTGTGATTTGTTTAGCCTTGGCTAGAGAGAGTATAAAAATGATCAGATAGTGCCCATCTCTCCAAGAGTGTCATAGGCATCATATTTTAGGAGGAAGAGGCTCTGTGACAGGGAATCCAACAGTATTTAGGCAAAGACAAGGGTTGAGATGCCATTTTGGGTGGGGGTGACCTGTGAGGTAGTGAATATTCCACTTCCAGTTTGCCTTTTTCATTTGGGACTTGGTGTTTGAGCTTTTGTTCTTTGGGGCCTTGAATTTCTGATGTGGATCTTTGTTTTTGAGTTAGAGCTTGACATTTTACTTCAGACCAATTTTTAATTTCAAAGCTAATACCTCTACTTCCATCATCTTTGCTTTGCCATTTCACACAGGATGCTAGCACATGATCTTTGGTCTTTTATTTGCATACTCTACTAGTCCTGACTTCATTGGCGGGAAGTGACTGGCCAGACCTGGGCTGTCTTGCTGGCTGCCTTCCTTGCTGGACTCCAACTTATCTCCTATGTACACAGCCCTTGGAGTTCAGAGGCCTCTGCTGACTTCTGCCCAACCTCTTTCTCTCAGCACCCAAGCCCCCCCTGGTATACACAGGAGCAGAGGCAGGCTAGGAAAAAGAAGAGGGCCTGGAGACAGATTGTGAGAGGCTCAGAAGCCCAGTGTGCCTTCATTCCAGCCCTGTCCATCTGCTTCTGTGACAACATCACAGAAAGGACAACTAGGAAGATAGAAAGTGAGGCTTGATACCTTGTGAGCAGTGGTGTCATTAACTGTGACATCTAAGATGTCTCGAGAGATGGGGGAGCTCACCCAAACCAGGTTGCAGAAGATCTGGATTCCACACAGCAGCAGCAGCAGCAGGCTGCAACGGCGAAGGGGATGTAAGTGGGGTTTAATTCTGTGGGCTCAATGTGGTGGTGATAGAGTGGGTATAGAAGAGCAAAGGATGTCTGACATCCACTCACACCTTAACCTGAAAGTTGGAATGGATGAACAGCTGAATGAAATAACTGTAGGATAACAAGCAGCCAATGTCAGGAGAGGTGAGGAAAGAGAGAAGAATAAGGATTAGATAAAGACCATCTTGATCACAGGGATCTTTGACTAGAAACTTCTCCTTTTGTATGTAAAGCTTATTTGTAATGTTTCATGTTTGGAATTTGAGGTTTCTAGTTTGGGACTTTTCAGTGCTATCCTGGAATATTTCATTTTGGTTTGTTCTGTGATGTGTCTGGAAATTGGTCTTGTTTGATTATGCCCAGGTGAAATAAGGTGATGGTTCCTGGCATCATTTCCCATAGGACAGGTGCTGGATACACAATCATACCCTCTCATTGGCCAGCATCACTCCTCCCCTTTCACAGGCCTCTTCTAAGAAATCTATACCTGACTGGGCTGAGAAAGGCCGAGTGTCACACTCTCACATTGCCTTCTTGGCACATACAGACCCTCTCCCTACTCCGTTTGAGGGAAAACATATGCAGTCTCTCAGGACAAGCCTACTGATGCAGTGTGTTTGCTTTGAAATTTTAAGAAGGAGCATGGACAAAGGAGAAGCAAACAAAACCTGTAAATAAACTTTTTAAACTGTGGTATACTGTTTTCTATAGATAACGGGACAATTGCGTACCAAGGTGTTTTCATCGCAAGTATTATGGCCTAAGGAGCCAGAAGGTGGGTGAAGATAAGGCAGCTGTGGACTGTGAGACCCAGACATCTCAAGGACCAGATGAGCAGGCTTCCACATTCCCAATGCTAGAGGCATTCTAGGCTCTGGGTTATTGGGGGAGCAGTAGTTGTTTTAGAGGGTCCAGGAAGATAATGTGCATTAAATATAGTGTGTAGGATGTAAGGTATGGATGGAGGAATAAGAAAGAACAAAACCAGCTAAATCAGCAATTTCACTTACTCATCTGGAGATCTAGGAGCCTGGATGAGACAGAACTTCATTCCAACCATATTCCTGGGGACTCTTGTCTTTCAGGTTGGAGTGATAATACACATTCATCACCTGATATAGTCTCTGTCCTATGGAAGATACAAAATCAATATGTGCTCACTTTAGTTCTGAGTCTCACTTTCCTCAGCTATAACACAGAACTAATACCTACCTCTTAGTGTTGCTGGGATGATTTACTGATTCAGAGGTTTTGGATACAAGATTGGCCAGGTTTCACTCCCATTTTTTCCACTTCTTCCCTCTGTGACTTTGGGTAAATCTCAACCTGTCTGTGCTCCTATTTCCTGACTTGTGAAATGAAGTTACTAATAGTATTGTTGTAAAATTGGATAAACGAAAGCATGTAATGTGCTTAGAAGTGTTCAGCACTTAGTATGCAATCAATATAATGTTATTATTTAAATAAGAATTTGGTTATATGGTTATTATTAATCACTATATCCCCAGCATCAAGCCCTGAACCTGGCACATAGCAGATACCCAGTAAATAATCACTGCTACTTCCACTCTGCCATTCACCATAATCAGCTATGAAGCTCTGTGTATACAACACATTTACTCTTTAATGATTGACTGAATTTTACCAGACCACAAATGCCAAAAAATTTGGATGATGGTTGCCAAGTCCTGCCCCAAGCAGTGTCTGTCTCACTTCTGATTCTGGGGAGGCCAGGCTATTTGACCCCAGAAAAGTCAGAGTCAGAAAGGAATGCTTGGAGCATTCTCTCTAGAAGACATGCAATCACTTAATGATGTTCTGAGTATTAATTGCATCAGCATGTGTAAAGGGTTTGAAAAATTGTGTATGTTATTTTCTCATCCAACGTATGTTTATGTGAGCCACCTATATAATGGGTTTTGCAACTTGTTTATTCACCTTGCTGTGTACAATTACATTTTGTAAATATCCTGCAGTTTATCCATCTTACTGTTGATGAGCATTTAGGTAGTTTTTAGTTTGGGGTTATGAACAATAGTGCAATGGACATTCTTGTACATCCTGTTAGAGCAAGGTCCTCCATCTTGTCCTTCTTACAGAGTCTTAGCTATTCTTGGCCTATTGCTCTTCCCCATATATTTTGGAATCAGATTTTCAAGCCACATACACAGACAAAACTTTTAGGAATTTGATTGTAATTACATTCAATCTGTAAATAAATTTGAGAGTTAACATCTTTGTTTAGGCATTTCTAAACATAGTATGTCTTTCTATGTAGTTAGTCTTTTTAAATGTTATTTAAGTGACATTTTATAATTTAATCTACAATGGACTTGCATATCATTCAAGTTTATGTTCTTGCTGATTTTTGTTGCTATGGTAAAAATACCTTTTTAGAAATTAATTTTATGGCAGGTTGATGCTAATGTACACAAATATAATTTTTTTCTTGTATACCAAATTCATAACTAGCAAACTTGCTACAATTTTTTATGAGTTTTGGTAATTTGTATGTGTCAGTTTTCATCTCCCCCCTCCAATCCTTTTTTTAAAAATCTCTTTTTCTTGTATTTCTACACTGCCAAGACCTTCCACATCCAACAATGCATAGTACAGTTTTGAATAGAAATGTTAATACTGCATAAACATGTTCAGAGGTTAAAAAAAAGAAGTGTTAATACTGCCATGTTCTTATGTTGATCCTGATTTTAATGGGAGTGCTTTTAAAGTTTCACCACTGAGCAAATTTGAATTTTTTTGGTAGATATCATGTAACATGTTAAGGAATTTCCCATTTATTCCTAGTTTGCCAGTATAGTTTTTAAAAGATGAGTGGATGATGAATTTTATTAACCTGTTTTCTGGATCTTCTGAGATGACATGAAGATTTTCTATGTTAACCTGTTAATATGGTTCATTGCATTAGAATTTTTCTTATGTTAAATTAATCTTACAGTCCTGGGATAAATAAAAAAAAAACTTTTAGTCAGTTCAATAAAATTTTGTTCAGGGAGGAGACTGGCCTGCAATTTTTCCATTCTCATGTTGTTCTGTCTGATTTTGGTGTCAAGGTTATACTAACCTCATGCAATGGGGTGAGAACTATTTTCTTTCATTCCGTTCCCTGACAGTTTGTCCAAGGAACTATCTGTTCCTCAAATATTTGGCAGAACTTCCAGGTAAACCAATCTGGGCCTGGCATCTCCTTTAAAATTTTAACAGATACAATTACTTTAATAGGGAATCATTTCAGTTTGCTATTTCTACTTAAGTCATACTTGTTAAGTTATGGTTTTCTAGGAATTTCTGTATTTCACATCAGTTTTCTAACTTATTTGTGTAAAGTTCTTATCTTTGTATCTGTTAATCTGCTCTTATATCCTCTCTTTTTTTGTTCTTACATTATTTGTGTTTTTTTTCTGTTGATAAATCTTGCCAGAAGTTTTACCTATCCTCACATTTGGTGTTCATTGGAAGGAAGCCTATAATTCCAATAGAGGGATATGTATAGTTTTTAAAATATATTTTATTTATTTACAGTGCTGGTGATCAAACCTAGTGCCTCAGACATGCTAGCAAAGCACTTTTCTATTGAACTACACCCCCAGCCCAATATTTAACTGATACACACAAAAAAAAACATTAAACTTGTACATATTATTGGGGTACAGTGTGATGTTCAATACATGTATAACATTGTGTGATGTTTATATCCAATTGAACCTATCTATCTCCTCAAATATTTATCATTCTTTGTGTTGAAAACTTTCACAATCCTTTCTTCTAGCTTTTTGAAATGAGCAGTGCATAGTTATCTGTAGTCACCATACTGTGCAGTGTAGTACTTTAGAGTTTCTTGCTCCTGTCTAATTATAGCTTAGTGCTCATTGATCAAACTTTTTCCATCCCCCTACACTGTCCCAGCTGGGATAGTAACCACCATTCTACCCTTAACTTCTATGAGATCAACCTTTTTAGATTCTACATATGAGTAAGATCATATAACACTTATCTTTCTGTGTCTAACATATTTCATTTAACATGATGATCTCCAGTTCCATTCATGTTGTCAGAAATAACAAGATTTTATTATTTTTATGGCTGAATAGTGTATATGTATATGTACATTTTCTTTATCCATTCATGAGGGGTTGTTTCTATTTAATCACTGTTGTGACTAGTGCTACAGTGAACATGGGAATGCAGATGTCTCTTCAGCAAACTGATATTATTTCCTATGGATAAATGCCAGTAGTGGGATTGCAGGATATATTCTATTATTAATTATTTTTATGTTCTATTATTAATTATTTTTTTGGTACTAGGGTTGGAACCCAGGGCCTTGCACATGCTAGGCAAGCACTAAGGATGTAGCTAAGGCTACATCCCCAGCCCCTATCTTTAATTTTTGAGGTGATTTTAATTTCTATGAATGGATACTAGTAGTGGGATTGCTTGATAATATAGTAGTTCTGTTTTCAATTTTTTAGGAACTTCCATATTGTTTTCCATAATGGCTACACTAATGTACATTCCTACCAACCATATACAAGGGTTCCCTTTTCTCTATGTCCTCACTAGCACTTGTTTTCTTTAGACTTTTGGGTACTAGTTATTCTTACTGGGGTGAGGTGAGATCTCATTGTAGTTTTGATTTGTATTTCTCTGATAATTAGAGAGGTTGAATATTTTTTTCATGTGCCTGTTGGCCATTTGTTTGATAAATATCTTTGATAAATATATTTATCTTTTGGGAAATATCTACTTTGATTTATTGCCCATTTTAATAGCTTTTTTGTTATTGCGTTTTTAGAGTTCCTTATATATTCTGGATATCAACCTCTTGTCAAATGTATATATTGTGAATATTTTATCCCATTCCGTGAATTGCTTCTGTACTCTATTGAGTGCTTCCATTACTGTGCAGAAGCTTTTTAGTTTTATGTAATTCTATTTGGCTTTTTTACTTTAGTTTCCTGTGT